GAGAATTTTAAGCCAGAAACTAAGAGGTTAAACCTGAATGCCCAGAAAAAAAAGGAAGGTTGAGTGCTGGAGTAAAACGTCAGTCAGCCAGCCTGCAAGTGAAAAAGAGAGACTGCTTCTAAAAACCTCATCAGTGTATTAAACTCAGGTCAAAGGAACTTGAATCCTGAGACTGTACTCTGTAGTTTATCTATCTTATACCCAATCTTTCATCACACTGAACTAAAACTATTTTTTTATCCCTCAATTACACACCTAACATGTGTGGCTATAGATGACCTTCCTGTTGGATGTCTGGCAAGGTGCTGAAAGGAAAGGTAATGGTCTTAATAAAGGTCTTTAAAGTGTTAACTCCTGCTGTCTTGAGGCCACTCATGGTAAATGTTGTTTACGATGTATGAAGGGGCCAGGAGTAGCACTTAAAGTGGGGCACATTAAGAAGGTCAGGCCCCCAAACCTGGCTGCCAGATGTCCCTGGTCATGGTGGCATGGTCGGAGGGGCTGCTTTGGCAGCCTCTGTAGTAGAAATCTTCTGGAGATGCCCATCTGGGTGCCTGAGGCAGAGTCCCAGTGGGTAGAGGCCACAGGATGAACCCTTGGATACTGCCAGATTCTCTGGTTGCTGGGCACCATGCCTGGCAGGCAAAGCAGTTACCATGACAACCACTACACACACACACACACACACACACACACACACACACATGTCTGCGATTTTTTTGTATTTCTCCTTTCCCATTAAGTGCCAATGTATTCCAGGGTTCCAGAGACAGGTAAACATAGCTCTCAGGACAGAATGTCCTCTGCTCCAGGAAGTGGGGGAGGGACGGAAAGTGGAGCTGTGTACATGCTATGATTGAATGAAACTTCATCAGTATAAATGCATATGTACCTGCTTCTGTGTTAAAATGTGTTGTATATCAATGTATGTATCATGCAAATGGTCAGATCACCATTTATCTGCCCATTTGCTTTCCTGCTTCCCTCCCCTCTCTGCTGTCCCTGTGTTGGGAGAGTCACCCCTGCCCTTTGCTGAGAGGAAATGCTGAGTCATGGCTCCAGCTGGGTTTCTGTCTCCTATCCTCCATCTCCATTCTTTCCTCAGTCCATCCCTCCCTCATCCCTGCTGGACCCTCTCTAAAGCTCTGGGCCCTCTTCACCACCTCCCTCCTAGGCCTGGACTCACTTTCCCAGAGGTTCACTTCTGGACAATAAAGAGAAGGCACTGCATTCTGTTTTTGCATTTACTCCCTTCTCACTTTGCCTCCTCAGAAGACTGTTCTAAGTCCTCCTCCTTATGACTGCCTTCTCCCTGATAAAACAGGATTTTGACCAAGTTTGACCCAGGAGGCTAATTCTTCCATGTATTCACGCTGATCCTCCTCCAGTCCCTCACCCCCTAATCGGATTACGGCAGTGTTTCATGCCTTGGGCCATGGCAAGGAAAGTGCGATTTAATTTGACATCACGCACTGAGGCTTTTTTCTCATTCTAGCTCTCCAAGTGCCAGAGCACAGGTTCTTGGAGGCGCGCGCGCGTCTGTGTGTGTGTGTGTGCGTGCGCGAGAGCAGTAGCAGAAGGGTGTTGAGTATATGCATTCAGGGGCAGAATCTACAGGCCCCTCCCTCCAAGGGCAGGATGTTTGGGGGTCTCTGTAGGTTCTCGGGTCTCTTTCCCATCCCCATTAGGCTCTTCTAACATAGAAATCCCAACCAAATAGTCTCGCTAACTAGTTCCAAATAAGGCGGACCAGGATTGCTCTCCTCCCCAACCGCCCCGCCAGAGGTGAGAGAGTGGAAAAGGGGCCCCGCCCGCTCAGCCTGGTTACTATGGCGACAGCCTCGGGGTGACCCGAGTGCTCCGCCCTCTCTCCTCCCAAACCTAGAAAGATGACGGCACCGCGCTGACTGCGCCAAATTCCAGCCAATGGGCGGCTGCTCCCGCCTTCCCTTCCGCCAGCTCTCCCCACCTCCCCCCGGGAACTCGATTCACAAATCTGGACTGGGGATTTCCGGCTCCAGGCCGTGGGCGGGGGTGGGGGGGTGGGGTGGG